TGAGCTGTCTCCCTGTGCATACACAGCCCTTCTATTCTCCCATGATTGTTCTCTCCAAGGAGTGTATCTACGTAATGTAAATGTTCAGCTCATATGCCTGTCTTGTTTGGCTGGAAGGCACAGGAGTGGGTTCAGTTCCAGACCTGAAGGGCAGCTAGGGGCCATAGTCTCGGGGTTCTACCAGGTTCTATCCAACCAGCAGACCTGGTCCCCCCTCCTTTTTTTTTTAATGATTTTGAGTTTTGTTCCACGTTGTTCTCCCTCTCTATCCAGGATTTCCTACATAGATCCCCCTCCGAGTGGTTGACAGTGGTAGCCATCTAGTTCTTCTGATCTCATAGGTATATAGGCTGAGGATCGCATGGTTTACCAGTCACTTGGACTAATTGTTTCCACGTATCTTTGGTTTTCTTCCTTCTTCTTTGCTCTGGACAAGGAGAGACCCATCATTGCATCTTGATAGCAGCTTGCAAGCTTTTAAGATCCCAGTTGCTACTTGCCAAAGTAGGATATGGAACAATGTTTTTGTGTAGTGTGTTATGCTAATTGAGCTTGATGTCCCCTGTGACTATGGTCCCAAGCCCACAGGTCCAACTATTTGCTCTCTTTGGGTAGCTGGCTATGGCCGAGAAATGACTACAACCTTGTCCCTTGTCAGTTCTATATACCTGAGAATTATTACAGAACATTCAAATGCACTTGTAGAAACTTAAAAAAAATTTTTTTTTTTTTTTTACAGTGAATGTAATACCATTCCTCTTCAATTTGCTGTTCCCGGCATAGTAGGCCATATGATTATCTGATTCAAAATGGCCAATACCAGTCCATTTCAGCTCACTAATGCCCAGGATGTCGATTTTTATGTGTTCCATTTCATTTTTGATGACCTCCAGTTTTCCTAGACTCATTCTTTGTATATTCCACATTCAGTTATTAATGGGTATTTGCAGTTGTTCCTTCTCATTTTGAGTCATGCCCCATCAGCAAATGAAGGTCCCAAAAGCTTTACTCCATCCACATCATTAGGTACTAGAGGACATTTCCCAAGAGAAGACTCATTCGTGATGGGTTCTGATGGGTGAATAGGAGTTTGCCAGACAGGAGGCTGCCTCCTGTGGTGTTGAAGAGAGGTGACTCAGGCGCAGGGAACTTTTGGAGCCTCTAACACGTCCTGACACATTTCGTCTAAATAAATGCCAAGGCTTACCTGGGCAAGGTGACAGATAAGCAAGACCTAGCCTCCCTCCACCCCATCCCATTTAATATGATGAAAGAAACCCCAGAGGAATTCAAAGGCCAGGAGGTTGAGAGAACATAGGACTTCCTTTTCCGGCTCCTGCTCCTTTCAGGCTCCTCAGTGCCTCCAGATCTCTGAAAATCCTGGAATCTTCCAGAGTTCTTTCCCTCTCTTCATCTTCATCAGTCAGGCTGAGGTGTGTCCTCTCTCCTTCCCACTCACACCCCAGTTTAGGCCCTAATCACCTTGGTCTCTAGGTTGGCCTGCACCCCCTGCACCTCCCAGGCCAGCCCCTCCCATCCCAACTAAGCCTCCCAAGTTCAAATATCTCCCAGCGTCCAACCATATGACCTTGTGCAGCCCCTGTAAGCTCCTTCCTTGGGCTGTCCCTCCTGGTCCTAGTGGCCACTTTGCTATGTGCTGCTCATACTCATGAGTGGCAGGAGTATGAGTATGAGTGGCCAATCATACACCTGCTGCTCTTTCAGACCATCTCAACGGCACGTATCCATTCATCCAATTATTTATTCACTTAACAAGTATTTATCCAGTGCCGACTATGTCCAGAAACAGTGTTAGACATCGGGACCCAGCAGTTGCCAACAGAGATGCCCACCTGGAAACCCCAGCCTCCTGGGAGAGACAGACAATAATCAAGGACACAGACGGATAAATCCATGTGACAGCTTGGGATGCTGTTGCCACAGGAAAGTGCTAAGAGTGTATAATGGGAGGTCCAACCCGGTCTGGGATGTCAGGAAGGAAAGCCGAGGCCTGAAGGACGAGAGGGGCCAGCTTGTACCAAGCCCGGAAGCAAGACACATCGGGTGTTGAAGGGCCGGCAAGGAAGCCGGTAGCTGGAGCCCAGTCATTGAGTGGCAGTGCGGTCACAGATGAGCAGGAAGAGGACAGCCACATTGTGAAAGGACCCAAAGCCAAGCTCGGGGGCTGGCTTTTATTCTAAGTGCACTGGGAACCATTGAAGGTCTCTAGGCAGGAGAATATCATGATGTGATTTCTATTTTTAAAAGCTCACTCTGACAGCTGTGTCGAGAATGGACCGTAGGAGAAGCAGGTAGTCAGGAGGCTGTTGTGACCCTCTGGGCAGGAGGTGCCGGGGTTTTGGGTGAGGATGATGACAGTGGAGCCAGGGACAGCTGTAGGATCTGTTCAGGAGGAAGAACTGGAAGGACAGGCTGGTTCATTCTATTTCCGGGCCTTTGATGTTTCCCTCTCCTGGTCTCTGCCCCCACAGCTCTCTGCCCTGAAGCCTCCTGGCGCTTGTTGTGGCCATCTCGGGTAGAGTCACCTGCCCAGACTTGCCTCAGGACAATTGGCAGCTGCAGGGATACCCAGACAGCAAGGGAACCACTGCCCAGCCCCCATGATGGACACATGCTGAATGAATGAATGAAGAGACCCTGAGAGTCCCAGAAACAATGTTAGGCGTTGAGACCCAGCAGCTGACAACAGAGATGCCGACCTGTTCTTTATTAGCTGTGGGACTTTGGACAAGTTATTTAAGCCACTTGAGCTTAAGGAGCTCTAGTGGTGCAGTGGGTAAGGCATTTGACCGCTAACCAGAAGTTGGTGGTTCAAACGCACCAGCTACTCCACAGAAGTAAGACAGGGCAATCTACTTCCACAAAGATTTACTACCTTGGAAACCCAGTGGGGGTCACTGTGAGTCAGAATTGAGTCAAAGGCAGTGGGTTTGGGTTTTGTTTTTGGTGCATCTGTTTCCTCCTCTTTAAAATGGACATGAAACCATCCACCTGGGAGAACTGTTGAGAGACTGAAGAGACAGGGTCTGTTGTTGCTGGCTTATCAGTGAGGCCTGCGTGCTGGTTATTGGCCTGCTGTGCCTGGGTGGCAGGAAACCACGGGCCCAGCCTTCCTACTCCTGGTGCTATCCTGCTTGAAGCTTAGCCCTTTCTGGGCCCCGTCTTCACCTGTGCTTGTCTGGCCCCCAGGTTTTCCCTACGAGAAGGTGGTACAGAGGACCCTCTACCTCCAGGTCCTAGACTACGACCGCTTCAGCCGCAATGACCCCATTGGGGAGGTGACCATCCCCCTCAACAAAGTGGACCTGACCCAGATGCAGACCTTCTGGAAGGATCTGAAGCCATGCAGCGATGGGAGTGTAAGACCCCACCTGTGGACTCTTGGCTCGAGGGGGCTGGCAGGTCTAGGAATGGCCAGGAGGGATGTGGGGAGGGGGTGCAGTGGGCAGCGTTCCCACCAGGTCTGACACTGGGGGGACACACCTGAGCTGTTACGAAGAACTTGGGGCTGTGCTAGGGAGCAGGGCCCTGGGGGAGAGCTCAGACCTACCAGATGTGTGGGAGGTGACAGAAAGGCCAGGTAAGCACCAGGTCAGGACAAGAGGTGGCAAGTGTTGAGTTGTTCCTTATCTAGTCTCCACACCCCTCCCAGTGGCCCGGCCTCACCTCTCATTGTCTTCTCCAGGGCAGCCGAGGGGAGCTGCTTTTGTCTCTCTGCTACAACCCCTCTGCCAACTCCATCATCGTGAATATCATCAAAGCCCGGAATCTCAAAGCCATGGACATCGGGGGGACATCAGGTGCTGGGGCATCTCATGGCAGAGGACAGGCGGGCAGGGGAGGTTCCAGCGACATGGGGTCACTCTGAATGTGGTTCTCATCCCCAGTACCCTGCACCCACCTCCAGTCCTAACTCTACTACTCAAGAGGCCTTGGTGGACATCCTTTGAGTCCCCTTAGGGTCAAATCATCTTGGACTGTGTCCATCTGAAAACAAGGAAGAAAGAGAACACTGTGATGGGGAGATCTGGGTTCTAGCCCCGGCTCCGACATGAACTTGGGGCGAGGCTCTTGCCTCTCTGGGGCTTGGTGTCCTCTTGGTGGTAATAGGAGGCACTGGGTGGGGGCCAGGATCCTTTCTAGCCCCACTGCTGGCTTGTTCCTGCAGCTCCTTCTTATTCTTGCTTAGGTCATTCCTCACCCCTTTGGGAAAGGACTCAGCACCCCCCATGCCAACTGCTAACTCCTCCTTTGCCCTCCAGACCCCTATGTGAAGGTGTGGCTAATGTACAAGGACAAGCGGGTGGAGAAGAAGAAGACGGTGACGATGAAGAGGAACCTGAACCCCATCTTCAATGAGTCCTTCGCCTTCGATATCCCCACGGAGAAGCTGAGGGAGACAACCATCATAATCACCGTCATGGATAAGGACAAGCTTAGCCGCAATGATGTCATCGGCAAGGTAGGCAGTGCGGCAAGTGGAGTCTGCACACAGCTGGTGCCCAGAAAGGGCATGTTCCTTTGAAGACACAGTTAGGACAGGGGGCAAGTGCAGAGCTGGACACTAAGACATCAGGCCAGTCTCTCCTTCTCTCTGGGCTCTGGGTGCTTATCTGAAGAATGAAGGGGCTGGATGAGATTGCCTCTCAGGTTCTCCTCAGTGTCTCCCTATAGGTCAGTAAGCTCAGGACAGACCACTAGGAAGTCAAGGAAAGAAGGAAGTGGGAGAGACAAGGCCCTGGCTCTTGAAAAGAGGGTTTTCTGCACAGCATCCTCAGATAGGGCGAGGAGCAGTGTTGCCTAGGGTCTGGTCTGCAGAGGGTGCGCATCAAGAGCTGCAGTCAGACTCTAAGACCAGTTCCCATACCATCTACCTCTGAACAGCTGTGTGACCTTGAGCAAGTCACTTTGCCTCTCTGAGCTTCGGTTTGGTTTTCTCAGCTATAAAATAGAGCTACTAGTACCAACCCTACAGAACTTCACAGTGTGATGTAAATACATGAACATTTTCCTTGTTTAAATGGCTTCTCCTTATTACTTCTCAACTAAAAGATCCATGCCTGACTGTGAGTTTCACCAGGATGCGATTCTGTGGCACAAACCCTTCCACTGTCCTACTTTGAAATATCCATTTCCTGTGTTTGTTTATGACTTCCTGTTAGGAGTGTGAACTCAGGAGTCAGACTGCCTGGGTCCAGGTCCCAGCCCCACCTCTGAACAGCTGTCACCTCTCTGCCTCACTTCCTTCTCTCAAAATGAGAGTGAGACAGCCTTAATCTCCCAGTGTGTGCCAGGAGGGCTCAATGAGATAACCCAGTGAGTGGCTTAGCGTATATCTGGAATGTGTTTCTAAGCTACTATTATAATACTAGTTAACTCTGAGACATTCCTCTTAGCCTTGGCCATGCTGAGGGTGTATACCCATTTGGGACATGGTGGTTTGACCAGCAGAGGAGCAGGGAGCTAGTGTGTCAGGACAAGGAAGGAGGTGGGTGCCAGAACAGGTGAAAGGAGAACACAGATCACTTGGGGCATTGCCCTTTATGGGCAAATGGATAAAGGTGACCCCGGGAACCCACAGGGAGGGGGACTGAAGTGGACAAATGGGAGTAGAGAACTCAGCTGTGGGGGCTGAGGGAGGCAGGGTAGACTCCAAGAGGTCAGTCTTAGCCCAGCAAGCCTGTCTGGCCAGGCTGTGTTCACAGGTGGGACAGCCCCACAGGACAGCAACGTG